TGCTGAGACTACCTCTTTGTAGTGGTTGTTTTAGAAGAGTACATGTTGTAAAGACAAAATTTTGAGGCCAGGGAATAAAATGCCATATTTAGAAAGGGCAAAAATACAGAATATTGGAAAGTATGAAAGATCTATAATCTGTGAAAAGAGCAGGATGATTTCAGAACATCAGCCAAGCTTTTCACAGTATCACAGAATAGTTGAGGTTGGAAAGCATCTATGGAGATTGTCCAGTCCAACCCACATGTTCAAAGAAGGGTCACCTATAGCAAGTTGCTTGGGACTGTGTCCAGTCAGGTTTTGAGCATCTCCAAGGATGGAGGCTTCACAGCCTCCCCAGAAAACCTATTCCACCGTTCAATAACTCTCGCTATGAAACCAAATTTCTTATATTTCAGTAGAATTGCCTGTGCTTTGGTTTGTGCCCATTGCCTCTTCTTTGTTCCGTGGGCACCACTGAGAAGGGTCTTGCTCCATCTTCTTCATTCCCTCTCATTGAGTATTTATACACATGAATAAGATCACTCTGGGGACTTCTCTAGGCTGGACAATCCCATCTCTCTCACCCTCTCCACATGGATTAGATGCTGTTGTAATCCCTTGATCCCATTTGTGGCCTCTCACTGGACTTGCTCCAGTGTATCCCTGTCTCTCTGGTACTGGGGAGTACAGAAGTGAACCCAGCACTCCAGGGGCATCTCCCCAGTGTTGACTGGAGGGGAAGCTTTCACCTGCTGGTAGTGCACTTCCCAGTGGAGCCCACAAGGTTGTTGGTCCAAGGATGCATTGCTGGCTTGTGGGCAGTTTTTTGTTCAGCAGGACTCCAGGTGCTTCTCTACCAAGCTTCTTTCCATCTGATTGCCTGCCCCCTGGTGTATACTGGTGCCTGGGGTTATTCCCCCCAGGTGCTGGCCTTTTCATTTTCTTTGGTCGAACTTCACGAGGTTCCTGTCTTACCTGTTTATTCAGCTTGTCACAGTCTGTCTGAATGACAGCACAGCCTGTGTTGTGACAGTTGAAAATGAGAGATATTAAGATGTTCTGCACATTTTCCCTGCTACTTTCTTGTTAGCGGAAACGTAACAGCAATCTTCATATGGATTGCTTCTTGTGGCAATTTTTCATTCTTCCTAGTGCAAGTGTGGAACATTATCATGTTTCTCATAAAAAAAATCAAAACTGTCAAAGGTGTGAGCATATTTCTTCTACTGCAAGAAAAGAGCACACTTACTTTCAAAGTTGCCAGATTGGGACCTCAGCTCAGTATAGGAAGGAATGCTTTTGAAAATGAGAATTCTGTTTCTCTTAAAAGTATAATGAATTGATACAGGTGAGAAGATCAATTATCATTATAAATGTCATCTTCTGAAGCAACTAGGAAGAAATTATTTTAAGTTTGAGATCCTTTTCATATAGCAGCAGAGACCATGTTGTACAACTCTAAATTTCAGCTCTATGTCCAAGCTTGTCAGTGTTAAGATTTCTTTTTTGTGTATTAACTGTTCTTCTAACCTCTAATTTACTGATTTTGGAAGTAATTGCAGCATTTTGATGTAAAAACCTTACAGACGTTTAAAGATACCTGCTTTTGTCTCATATTTTAATGCTGCTTGAAATGTTTGTGTGTTGTTTTTTTATCTGGATGTCATGTACATTCTTAAAATGTGTACAGGGTCAGTCAGGCTTAGGAATAGCCAGATTTTTGGTTCTCTGATAGGTTCTGTTTGTATCAGCTGTTTATACCAGGTACTGGAATGTTTCTTCCTCGGGAAGCTTGGCTTCTGTGAAATTTCTTCTGGGGAGCTCGTAGTGACTTCTTCTGGAATGTCTTTACTACCATCTGCTTCCAAAATAGACATTAGCATTAGTGGGCAGTTTTGCAGAAAATTTTGATATACTAAATTTCCTGTGAATAATTATCTCCTCAATGTCATACATGTGACAAACTCATCCAGAAATGAGATCTGAGTTGCTTTGGTAGCTTAGTTGCTGCTGACCTCGGTCTTTGAATGAAGACTTGTGATCTGTTTGCAGACTTTTTTTTTCCATGTGTGTATCCTTCTGTGGGAGATTATTCAACAGGCAGAAAAAACAACCAGCGAACCAACTTTATTTCAGTGGTTTATTATCATAAAGATGTTGTTTTAAACTAAGATATTAAACAAATCTAAGCTTGTTGTTCAAGTAACTTAAGCAACTGTACTACAAAGTAAAATTATTTGTGCTCAGGAAGAACTGTAGAACAATTAAAAACTTTCATCCAGTCTGTGATTATAACACTTTAGACAAGGAAGCAGCTTAGGTTTTGAAGTTGCACAAATTACCAAATGAATAGCCAGGACGAGGTTTCTATTAGATTTCTATTAAGAAGTTGTTTTATTACACTTGTTTTTGTGCAAATATAACAGCAAGTTAGAGAAATATACAAAAAAGCTGTTAACTAGAAACGTATTTCCTTCTAATTCTAGAGAAGTATTGTTTCCTGTTTTCTTAGAATACTTAAACAAGTATTAAATATACAAATTGAGAAATAAGTATCAAATCCATTGATCCATCATGTTCTTCAAATATGCTTTTTAAATGGTAAAAAACTAAGAATTTTTAATCTATCAATATATGTCTGTGGGCATAACAAATGCTTCGAGTATTAACTTTTTTTTATTGCCTAATGTTAAAATATCAGTTTTGTGCACACACTCCCCAAAGAAGTATGATTAACTGAATTGGATGGCTTTTTTAAGAAGAGAATAGTCTAAACTGAAGTAGGTTAAGCATACTAAAGCTTGCCTTAAAATTCTAAATTTTATGTTAGCATGATTATAACCCCACCTTCACCGAATCGGAGCCCTTGAGGATGGAAGGACCTCTGAAATTATTCTCATCTAGTCCCACTACTCAAAGCAGGGGCAGCTGGAGCAGACTGCCCAGGGCCATGTCCAGACACATTTTGAGTATACCCAGGGATGGAGACTGCACAGCTATTCTGCGGCCCATGTTTTCCTTTGTCTTCCTTTTGCTGCTTTTTTACTTGTGGAATCTTTCTTGTTGCCCTTCACATCGCTTGCCAGATTTAACACCAGGTAGCTTTGGCTTTCCTGACTTCATCCCTGCATTGCTGCACAGTATCTCTGTTTTTCCTGGGTTATTGGCTCCTGGTTTCACTCAGATGCTTTCTCTTCATGTCTGAGTTGGGTCAGGATCTCCTTGTTCATCCATGCAGGCTTCCTGCTTCCTTTGCCTTGTTTTCTACTTGTCGTGATGGACTGATCTTGACCTTGTGTGTCAACTAGCTCTCTTGGGCCCCTCTTGTCTCCAGGGCTGTATCCCATGGGAGTCTTCCAAGCAGATCCCTGAAAAGGCTGAAGTTGCTTTTTAGAAGTCCAGGGTTTTGTTACTGTTTTCTACCCTGCTTTCTTTCAGGACCCTGAATTTCACAATCTTTTGGTCATTGCAGCCAAGGCCCCGCCCCACCTTCACATTCCCAAGTAGTTCCTTCTGGCTTGTAAGTATAGGATCCTGGCAAGCACCTCTCCTTGTTGGCTCCTCGATCACCTGTGTCAGGAGTTTGTCATCAGTGTACTCCAGAACCTTCCTGGAGAGGAGACTTAAAAGCACAAGCTTGTGCCCTACTGTTTTGTCCCACCAGCAAGTATCATAACAGTTAAAGTCCTCTGTAAGGACTAGAGCATCTGAATGTTAGGCTTCTGCCAGTTGTCCAAAGAACCCTTGTCTGTTGGTTGTTTGTTGGGGTTTTTTTAATCCTGATCCAGACAATCTATAGCAAATGCCCACAAATTATTGGAGGAAAAGAGTTGCTGTGGTTGCATTTGGTTTTGTTGATATCTGTATTTATGTCTCTAATGTGGATCACTGTGGGATTTAAAGTACAGAGCAGTTTAACCACAGAGTTAATGATGGATGCAGGGAAGCCAGTGGCCACTGTGAGTTCCCATCTGGTTTGGCATAGGACTACAATAAAGTGTTGGATTTTTTAACCTGTGTTTTACTGGGCTGCTAAAATGCTCAACTATAATAAATACTTTTATGGGGTTTATTTCTTACCTTTCAAAGTTACATAGTTCCTGCTGTTCTTTGAGCTATGTTGAGAATTGGGTTTACTCTGCTGTATTTGAGAAACAAGGCCGTTTAACCGGTTATTGGGGTTTGACAGCCGGAGCTTAAAAGTGGTTATTTTTGTTAAACTAGTAATCTTCGGACATTTTTCTGTGGTGTTTTAACACCACAGTGATATTAATACATGCTAAAGTTAATGTACTACTAGAAGGGTATATACTTTTTCTCTAGAACCTTGCATTTAAAACATAATTGAGCTTGTGTTGCACGTTTGTGTTCTCATTCTGTCGTAGAATATTCCTAAGTCATTGTAGTTGTTTTACAGGTAGATACTTCCTGGTCATTATTCTTGTACAGTTTTAAAGGCAGAACTGAAGTATGGTAGAACATTCAGCATTAGCACTTGCTGGGGGGAATTTTTGCTGATATTGTTACAAAGTTTTCCCTCAAATATTGAAACATATTAAAACTGGTAAGAGTTGTAAATGAATTTTGTTCTGAGCTGCACATGGGATTTAGCACTGTAAGCAACCCTAAGCAAACAGAAAGGCCACGTGCCTCAGAGTCGTAGACATATGTTACTGGTTTACCTGTTATAATCACTTTATATTTGTAGCAAATACTATCAAAGAGTAAAACTACTGATTGTCATCTTCTCTAAGAAATAAATTAACTTATTTTTAGTTTTTGGTGGAAACCAGTCTGTTACTTGTGTAGCTTGTTCTGGTTTCTTTTTATTTTTTAGACTGCAGTTTTACGTTGAGTTTTTAAATTTAAAAGTGTAATGCATCTCAGTTTGGCTTAAATTAATACAAAAGCTTCAATTTTTTTTTTTTTAAATTTCAATTTCAGTTCAAAATTACTCAGTTCAAATAGCCTCTTCTAAAATAATTACATGTATGAGGGCGCATAACTTTTGTGTTGAATTTGAGTAGGGTTAAACTACAACTTTATACCTTGCTTCTGGACACTGTGTATTTTAGTTCTTTGAAGATCATGTTCAAAGAAGGGGATTTAGGTTGATAAATCTATAGAGAAGCTCTATGAATGTTGGTCAGAATACTTTAAAAATTAAATCATTTTCTTCACATGGTGATGTGACTTTTCTTTTGCTAAAGTTTTCTGTTAATAAAAAGTCAAAAATAACTGTGAAAATATACTCAGGAAAATTCCTTGTGTAAAATGTTTATCTCCTTGCAGTGTTTAGGTCTTGAAAGGTGTGTAAAAAAAAAAAAAAAATAGGCATGCAGAGTTTCTTCTTGTAATATTGTGGTATGTATTTCAAAACTTTCCAGTGATGGCTTGAGCATTTTGCAAAGCAGTTGAGGCTGCAGAGGGCCCACAAAAACATGAATGTGCATAAATTCCTCTGAATATTTAGAGTCTTTTCCATGGTTATCTGTGAGATTTTATCAGAGAAGAAAAATACACTGCAGTTGTATGTTGTGTTTAATTGTTAGTTTCAGAGAGTATTTGTGATTAAAAGTTTAATCAATATTCCTGTAATTAAAAATAGTCTTAAACAATGTGGATGAGCGATAAAGTTATTGGGGGGGGAAAAAAGTGTTTTTAAAGGTTTAGTGTTGTGCATAATATCCTGGATTTTTTATGCTATTAATAGGACAATTGTAATTAAATGGTTTCATGCTGCTCTTAAAATAGCCTTGAAGTATGTATTTTAATTGGTTGTGTATCTTGTCTCAACAGCTGCTTATGGTTAAATGAAAAATTCATGAAATTTTCATGTTGGAAAATTTACATTCTAGGTTTTAGAACATGAGAACATCTATAGTCATACTGTAAACGGAAAACAATTTTTTTTTTTTTAGCACAGTGGCCGGTGATTTTTTGTTTGATTTTTGGTTTTAGTAGCTACATTTCTTCAATGTGATACAAAAGTTTAAAGTGAAACAACTCAGGTTTTAAAAGATGGAGTCCAAGGGCTGCGTGTCCTGGGTATTTTTAATGATCTGCCCACTTTAAAAAGAAATAATTCTTTCCTATGCTTGTTTATATGCATTGTTCATTTGTTAGCTTTATTTCATAGGTTTTAATATCTCAGCATTTTTATCTAATTTATCATTTTTATATTTTTAAAGGTCCCCAGGTGCATCAAATTTTTCAACTTTACCAAAGATCTCTCCATCTCTATCAAATAATTATAACAACATGAACAACAGAAAGTAAGCAATATATCTTAAAACATTATTTAATTTAATCACCCCAGTGTGACATAAATTTTGATGTTTTATATCTTTTAGCCTAAGGATTTTGATTTGTTTTGCAATATTTGTATTGTGAATTGTCACTGGTCACTATCTCATAGAGCAGACATCAGGAAATGAAACGGAGCTAATGATGTTTGGTAGCTCTTAATCCTTAGTAGAACAGACACTAAAAAGAAGGTTGAGAATTGTAAGAAAAAAAACATATCAAGACTTCATTTAGAGTTTATCATGCTAAAAATACATTGATTGGTTTTTTATTGTTCTGCCTCGAGTTAGATGGACAAACAAAAAAAACTGTGAACTGCTTACATTTATGGTGGTCAGGTATTCCCTTATTTATTGATGCTAAGGCATTGTAGCAGCATATAATTGGTTTAGCTATAATTGTCATAGTGATTATAGCCATTGATCAATCATCAGCAACTAAACTTCTGTGGCTTAGTGCCAGAAGATTTGAGAGATCAGTCTGATAGGTGTGCTTGAATACCACAATGAGCAGAAGCTTAATAAAGGAAGCTTCTCACTTTTAAGGGGTTGCTCCTTTATATTCCCAATCAGACGTTTAATAAAGAATGCTATGAAACTCTAAAAGAAGAGCTTTCATATTCAAAGTGGCCAACTTTGTGTGTAATCTCTTGTTGTACACAACTGTAAAAAAGTTGGTGAATATAGAAAAACATGGAATTATTTCACTTGAACAGATAATGGAGGATCTTTCAAATGCTTGAAACCAGAGAGCACTCATCTTTAATGCAAGCTGGGGGAAATGGAAGAGGCTTATTCTTACAATTCATTCAAATTTAAACTGGTTTTCCAAACATACATTTTGTGATCAAACGTGAAGATGTTAAATATTAAAAAAGTGACATAAACATTAAATTTCTTATACAATATCTTCCAGTTAAATACTGCATTTATCAGAAGTGATTTTTCCTAAAATGTCACTTGTGCTTCTACCAATTGTGAGTAGCCCCAAGTCTCACCATTCAGCAGCTGAAATCCATGTATTTAACTGCAGCCTGTTGTACTCTGTGTGAAAGTGTAGTAAATAAAAAGTATATTGTACCTGTGATTGTGTGAAAAATTATTTGATCAGAGCTGAGCCTCCAGCTGAGAACTAATCTCTCCTTCCCCCATTGCTTATGCAAAAGAAAGTTGTAATGCCTAAACCAAGCTTAACAGTTACTTTTTCCTAGGGAGCCACCATTTTAAATCAATCCAGCAAGGCTTTCTTCTTTCTTTTTTGTTCCCCCCCTCCTTTTTTTTTTTTTAATGTTAGCTTCTCCCTAGTGATGATGTAGTTATTTTTAGGAAGCCCTTATGAAACCTGTTGCCAGCTCTTCAGCTTTTAAAGATAGTTTCTTCACTTGCTTTAGCTGATCTTATTTTTATTTCTTGGTTCATATTGGAGCCCAAATGCCAGCTTTTAGAAACCTAAAGCAAAATTCTTGGATTGTTTTTTTTTGTTTGTTTTGTTTCGTTGGTTTTGTTTCGGTTTGTGGTTTGTTTTTTTGTTTGTTTGGGGTTTTTTTGTTTTGTTGTTGTTGTGTTGTTTGGTTTTTTTTTTAAATTTGAGCATATTTCAACAGAAATATGTCTAAAAGGAAGTGCTATAAAATTCAGATTTGATAAGGAATTGATCCTTTGAAGTGCCTTAACTTAAACATTTGTAAATCAGGTAGTAGGCATATGTTCTTTATAGCAATATGAAAAACGAACCATTTTTCTCTTTTAACTCAGAACACTGTATATCTGGATGTTATGTAAGGCAGATACTCAGTGCAGAAGTATATGTTTTTCCTTAAAATGCAATAATCCAATTAAGATGAGTTAAATTTGTGATTTAAAAAAGTATTTCTTTTAATTTGCTACAATATGTAATATAGGGTAATCTTTGGCAACATTTCTGTCAGAATACACGTTCAAGATCAACTAGTTCAGTGATAGAAAAGTTATATCCATTAATACACTATAAAGAGCATACTGTTGCATTAAGAATTTTTGGCTTCAAAATGTAAATGGAAAGATATAGAATCATAGAATGTATCTCTGTATTTAATTGTATTACATCATTCTGGGTTAAGATCAGTTTCTTCCTATCTTTTTCTCACTGCTTTCCTAAGTAACTGCTTAATGTCAGCTTTGTCTGGAATTTATTTTTATATTTCTGCCTTATTGTCTCTTATATCACACACTGTCTCTAGTACAATTGCAAAATTACACATTTGTGGCTTTCTGGGATTCATTGGTACCTACATATGCACGAGACACTAACTCTAAAAGAAATGCCAATGTTTGTTTTTAAAATAATTTTAACTGACAAAGCTGATATGTAGGGCAGAAAAAGCAAACAACAGGCTGTCTGTAGCAGTAGTCATAAATGCTAGGTGTTGCAAGCCTGGTTTTGCAGTTATTGTAGCTTGACTATAGAGTACAAAACCCACCAATGTTTCTTTATATGGTGCACAAGTCTGTAATACGTGTCTCATCCAAGAGGTGTTCCAGGTAATAGTAAGCTTCAAATTGGTACACGTCTCACTGTGTGTTGAGTTACTCATATGTTAGATAGTAGAAATACCTTGTGCTAATTTTATCAGGTCTTAAGCCTTTATTTCTATAAATGTGAGTTGCATTGGATGGAGTGGAGGATTCCAAATAATTGCTCACTGATATTCCTGTGCCTTTACAGGTGAACTTGTTGAAAGAATAACATAGGAGGATTAGTATAATATGTGTTAGTGGATTCAGAAGAGCAGGGAGGGGTGAATCATTTAGGTCTTAATGGAGTTTGTTTATTGCTGTTACAAAGCAATAGATTTCATATAGCATATTTTATAAGTGATGTGGGGAGGGGTTTAAAAACACTTGAACAGGGATTTTTGTTTGGGGAATCAAGTGAAAAGTTGTTTTCCTTATTTGTAACCATTGTTTGAGGCTCCTGAAGCTGGCAGCTTTGTTCACATGCTTGGTATATTTCCATTTGCTTATTTCAAGAGGTGCAAATGTTAACTACATCACCTGAAGAAAAAGTTTCTTCATGTTCCATCTGACACTGGCAAACATGGAGAAGGTTTTGGGTTTTTTTCTTAAAATTTATTTCAATAGATGGTAGTGTTATTGTTTGCTCTCCAGACAATGATCATGAACAATAACAAAGAATAGTAGTCTTTGTACAGTGACGTGGGCCTTTCCTGCTGCTTCAGGCATCTCTAAAAATTGATAGAACCCAGTTACAGGTTTGTTAAAGTGGCTGGTCACAAATACACATTGGCAGTGCATCGAAGTGGTTGAAATATTACAGAGCTCAATAAGTGTTCCAAACTTTAAATTTTCTGGGCTCATTCTTGCAACTCAAATTCGTTTTGTAGCACCCAGTTTTGGTATGTGGCACTCCAGTGTCAAATTGTGTCCTTTCCAAAGCTTGTGATGTTTTTCCAAACTTCTCGATTTCAAATCCACGTTTCCCAGAACTCTAACTACACAATGAGTGTTCTGAGTTGATCAGCATCTGAAAGCTGGTCTGAGGTTTAAAGGCAGGGTACGGACAATACATGTAAGTCATCTCAAATATGGCACATGCAATTAAAAAATTTACAGATTACAGATAATAAAATGTCATTTAGAAACATTCCTTTACCATTTTCACTTCTTCAAGAACTCTGACTGTTTAAGGATCTGAAGATGGTTTCATTTTTTAAAGTCTCACCTTATTTTTCTGAGCAGCAGTTTCTTCTAAGAGCCATCAGTGTTTCCTTTTTATTTTTGCCCTTACTTGACTGCCCCTTTCCAATACTACCCTTCTGCTTTTGTATGCATTGTTCCCTCATTGTAGGCAGCTTTCTCAGGATTTTGCAGGAAAAGCAGATAGAGGCTGGGGACATGCTATCACAAATTACTTTTTCTAGGGCGTTTCCGTTTCAATGAAATTTGGGTGGACTTGCCTTGCATCTTTACCTGCTTTTCATGGTTAGCCATTTATTACTGACTGTTAGTAATACTTTATTTTTTTGCCTGTGTCAAAGGCATGAAAAGCAGAGGAACAATGTACTTTAAATAAAAATAATGCTTCCAGAAAAAATGAACATTTGTAGACGGATAAAACTGTAAAGAGACATCTAGTTTCCTGCACATAGTAGGCACTGTATTTTGCTGCATATGTTTTGATAAAATACCACAGAACCCTAAAAGAAAAACTGATGAACAGAGTTGACTCATGGGATGAGTGTGGTAACCATATTCTTTAAATCCCTCAAGTAGATTTCTGTGGACCAATAGAGAAGATGAAAGAGCTCAGGAATGGCTTTCCATTTTGAGAAGTAAACTGACAGTTCGTCCCTTAGAGCAAACCAACTCTAGGGAACTACCTGTATTACAATTATCTTGAATTAAATTATGATGCTGTTACTCGGATAATTTAAGGAAATTTTTCACATGGATGCAAGTAGCCAAAGGACACCAACTGCATTTCCTAGTTTTCTAGTGTCCCTCCTAAGATGGCAGTTTGTGAAGTGGGAGGGCTGCAGAGAAAGGCAGTGAAAATCCCCAGGAAAATTATATTCAGTCTGTTTATTACCCCTTGCCATGGTTTGGGGTCAGGGCAG